TATAATGTTAATACTGGGACTATTATACTTAGTAGTTGTTAGTATTGAGATTCGCAACTCTAGTAGAGTCTATATAACAGCCAATGAAATGACGTGGCCACCGGAAAGCCGATAAATCCGATGGATTTATGGGTAATAACCCGTATTGTTGTGTAAAAGGTTCTACGCCTCACGATTTTTCTAATGGATAATGCCGATACCTTTCACAGCTAAAGCATGCAAGTATATTTAAAAGTTACAAAAAACTAATTCTAATAATTTGTTATTGATAAAATGTGTTCTAATGATGAGATTAATCAAATACAAACAAAGTTAAAACTCGGCCCATTTTACTTCACCTATTGCCGTAGAAACCATTTGATCTCCCAATTTTTTTCTTAAAACTTGAAAATATGCTAATAAATATATAATTTTATGGGCCAATAGTACTCCCAAAATGTTGTTTCGTGAAAATAAGACTATTTTCGTAAAATTTGATCCAACAATGTGGCGATTTTTTCTGATTGATACCCGAAATTTTTTATTTTACTGGCTAAATATTGAAATTGTTCATGGACAAATTTCCTTAAATCAGTCCTTCTTTTTTGTGCACTATGAAATTTATAGCCTGCATTTTGTTAGACATTTTATTCATTTTTCATTCTGTTTATAGCAAAGTTGTTTATTTTCTCCTATTCTGAAGTCATTGTTTTTTTTCTTCTTTTTAGGGTGCCAAAGATGAACGAATGCAGTAAATTTACAAAAGGAGTAAAATTTTCCTAGTAAAGGAAACCTTCTGCTGTTCGTAATATTATGAATGAGCTTCATATGCATCTGTTGTCGTTTAAGACTACGCTTCTTGTTCAAAACATGAACCTAATTTATTTTTAAATTAAAATCGTATTTAGGACATTTCAATGGTGACTGCAAAAGATATATATATATATATTTGATAATAAAAGATTTTATTTACACCAAGGATTTGTATATGGATACACAAAAACAATCTTACTTTTAAATTGCCATCTCTTTACCCCAGAATAAAAAGACAAAAACCGCTACAAATGATTAAAAGACAAAAACCACTACAAATGATTGTCTCGTGGAAACAAGGTTATAAAATACTTTTTAAATAGTGTCTTCCGTGTTGCTTTGATGTATGACCTGTGTTTTTTTATAGATTTTTTGTTGCTTCGAGGACACACATATCCATCTATGTATGCAGTACTAGTATTGTCAATTGTTTTTGTTGGTGGGTCTCTCGCTTATGTTTTCGTCCTTTTCACTATCAACAAAGAGTTCGTTATCAGTTTAGTCAACTAGGAGTATATCAAAGTCGTAACTATTAAGATTGTCATCCCACGAAATTAAGATTGTCATCCCACGAAATTAAGAATGTAGGACAGAAAGTCACAGGACAAAAAGTCACAGACAAAAAGTCACGGACAAAAAGTCACAGGACAAAGCACAATTCAGTTTTGAGATTATTTTTCTTTAAACAAGAAAGCACTAATTTAAAAAATTAAATTTTTGTTGTTTTTTGAACTATTATATATGAAGCAACTTTGTAATTAAAATTTATTTAATAAATAACAATGATCAAATAATTGTTATGAAAACAAAATGTCAAAGTGGCTTGGTACTTAAATGGCTTCATTGTGCCAAGAAATATATCCTTTGCATAATCAAAATTTAATTAATTTTCATTTGTCAAGGCTTATGAACAATTTCCTAAACTTAGAAATGAATATATGTAATAAAAAGAAATTATTTCAAGATCTTTCTCTTATATATTCAAACAATTGTCAACAAATTATTTGTGACTTTTTGTCCTATCAAATTTGTGACTTTTTGTCCTGTGACTTTCTGTCCGTTTACCGAAATTAAGATTGTCATCCCACGAAATAAAATCGGAATTTTCCATATTGCGTGCACATGAATGAAGCTTTATTCAAATGAGAAATTAATTGTAATTTTCTTGAATATTAATTCTCAATACACACTTCGAACATGAAGAAACCATAAATTTACCGACAATCATTTAAAAAAACAACTCAATGCAAGCCTATATGATAAAACTGTCAAACAACACTTAGAAATCAAACATTTACCGACAATCCTACAGAAAAAAAACTCGATGAAAGCCCAATAAATGAGGAATATAAAAATAAATAAAATTTTAATAATTTATAAATATCAAGAATAAAAAACAAAGCCTATCATGATTAACAATTAATTAACAAATAAATTAAGTTTTTTTCCATATTAATTAATTATACATTTTGTGACTTGTATTTTTGGAAAGAGTGTGGACACCTGTGGTGTGACAACTTCTTGTTTACAAGGTGTCAATTAAAACTCATTATTTATAACACGTTCGTGATTTACCTGCATGGTCATCGAATAATTCAAACCTAATATACATGTCACACTGTGAAATTATGTCTCCGAGACAGGTGTATATTCAATAGAAACCCATTATGTAACTATCAAATAAAATGAACACTGACACAATTTATCAAGTGTTAATTATTTAATATCAGTTTTTTTTTATACAATATCAAATTATGTCTCTTTTTCAATAACACAAATCTAAAATCAAAATTACATTAAAATAAATAATTATATATGTACTCAAATTATATTTAATTAATTATGATAAATTTAACACTGAAACAGTTTGTGTATGCTTAAACATTCGTCCTTACTTCGAGTACTTTTAATACTTTTATTAATGACTTTATTACCTAAGGAGATCTCGCGAGGTTTAACTAGTGGCCGCGTGTTATTACGGGATTTCGCCGAGTTGCGAATCTCTTGTATTATATGTCTCTGGTATAATAGTCCCAGGTTAATAACGCAAATTTGTTGACACCACTTTTAAAATTTCCCGCTACGCTAACTCAATGATTGCGTGCATTGGAACAGGGACTATTTCCGGTTTAAATTAGGATATCAACAAGAAACGGCGTGAATTTTGACAGGTAAGAAATAGGTAATTTGATAAATACATTAATTAGTAAACAACCTTGTGGTTTTAACGGACCTTTAAATAGGCTTCATTCCGAAAATGTGCATTATATAGTTTGTTTAGAAAAGACCGGTAGCGAACAAAAGATTAATAAAACCGAATATTTTGGCGCTTCTTTCAGTTTGACATTGGCTATCAAAATACATATAATGTTTTGAATAATATTATGAATGTCATCTCTGATTTTATAATTGCGTAATTTTCCAAGATCAGAAGAATACTCGGATAGAATTTGGGTGTGGTCAAAGAGGTTTCTTTGTAGGAAGGAATATATGAAAATATTAAAATATTACTAATATTACTAATGCTTATCTAGTCCAAATAATTATGACGTCTTAAAAGGCTATTATATTTTTCTTTGACACCTTACATCGACACAGGAAGGCATCAAAGCAAAAAATTAAAATAGCCTTCCAAGACGTCATAATTATTTGGACTAATGCTTATCCTAAATTATAAAAAGATAAACAAACTATACAATGTGGAAACAACCTATTCTCATACACACATCAATGATGAATGGATAATTTATAAAATCAGGTGGCACATATCTAGAATTTTTTAAAGGGGGCATAATTCACAGGCACTTGTTTCTGTCAATGAGGGGTTTTAATACTATCCACACTTTACTTGGCAATCAAAGGGGGAGTATGTCTTCTATGCCCCCTGGAAACGCTGTGTTGAAAATGCAAACAAAAACACATATCCTGATCCTAAGGTCATATTTGACACAACTTGTCTCTTGATACGTCTTTGTTTCCTTATATGGTACACTGTTTTAAAGTAATTTATCACCATACATTACTTAAGCATAATTGTTCAGGCGCAGGATAAGGATTCAGTGCTTGCCAGTTCTTGAAAATATAATGCATAACAAATGCAAGTATGACAAGATAAAAAGGGTAAGATTTTGTTTGAACATTCAATTGTGGAGCCCTTCTAAATTTTAATTGAGGAATTTGCAACAGCAGAGCATGACATAAAAAAAATTCTACTAGCTGACAGGTTTCAAACACCTGACAGAGTAATATCTTTACCATTACTGAGCTTAATGAGTACAGAGTACATGTTACCATATATATATTTATTGTATTACAAGCAAATATAATGAGAGAAATAAAATTATACTTTTTCACTATGGTCAACATATTGAGGAAAGTACAATTTAATATAATGCATAACAATTACTGAAAAGAGGGTCTGAACCCCTAATTCCTCAGATATTCCCTGAAATAATATGAGACCACCACACTTTTATCCACGCTCTTCTCCTTTTTGAATAACAAAAAAACCTGTTTTACATTTAAAGAACTACGAGTACATGTACAACTTACAAATTTTTAAGTAAATTGTATTTAGCTTACACTGCCTTCAGACTTCAAATGTTTTCATGTTTTTCATGACATATTTCTTGTACATATATTTTATAGTGTATATACTTAAATGTAAACATAGCCCTTGAGGTTAAAAATCTCATCTGCATTTAATCTGCTATGTCTGACAGATGTTATCTGTCGATGTTATTGCTTAAGGTAACATGAGATAAGATTCTTCAACTTAAAATCTATACATGTAATTGTTGATAAAAAAAGTTTGTTTTTAAATTTGAAATTAGGCCACTCAATTAAGACTATAATGAAAAAGTAGCATATTTAAAATTGACCCAGTTGTGTTTGTTTATTTTAAATTTTTTAATTTTTTGCATACACACAAACACAAAATGAATTTAACAAATATGTCTTGTTTTTGTCTTATAAATACATGTACTTAGATTTCATGTCTTGATATATCTATTAATTCAAGATATTTAAGGCAATAAATATATATGCACCCATTAATCCCAATATTGATTAGATAAATACATTTATTAATCCTAAGGTATCAAGATTTTTTAAATTCCATGCATTCCACCTTTATAGGTAGTTCGTTTAAGGTGAGATCACATACAAATATTATATATTTACTATATCCCTGACTAGTAGAGGTATAAATGTGTTGACATTAGTTTATAATAGCTCATAATAGCCTGAGAGAATGATATGTGCATTGAATTTGTGAAGGTAAAAAAAGGTTCATAAATCGGATCATCTATTTCTACATGTTCTAGGAGGTAACTTTATAAAATTTTGTTTAAACTTTTTACATGTATGAAGTTCAGGGAATGTCATTTCTGTATATAACTGATAATCAGGTAGAAAAAAATTATGTAATTGATATCAATGAGAATTATCAGATGTTGAAAAATATGTTCTTATAAATGCTCAGAATTACAAAGTTGCAGGATGTTTACCTGTATGTGAAAAATCTAAAATGTTTATCCATTAACTTGTTTTGATTTAAATTCATGATCAGCTGTTAGAAACGAAATCCTTTTTGATTTTTCCTTTTCAAAGGGCATTCTTCATTACTCAGAACACAGATGATAAGACCATAACACTAACATAATCTTATAATTTAAATGTATATCTTAACTATTTCTGAACCAAAGAATCCATGTCTTATCAATGAAGCGTTGTAATTAATTTAGTGTGTGCTTAAAATATTGCATCTGTTAGAACTCTTTAAAATTTACCAATGAGTCAGCTTAACACACAAGAAAATAGGAATGAAGTGATAAAGAACTATCTGTGATTCAGACTTAGGACTAATTAAATTTATTTTTAGTAAGTTTAAAATTTAGCTGGCATGTTTCATATTATTTTTTTTTACTTGGCTTTTACTTACATAAATCTTTGCTAATGATTTTGTTAGTCAAGTATTTCATGGGTTCATAAAGAAGAGGCATTAGAATTTAAACACTTCAACAAAATACTTTCTTTTTCATAATGAACAGCAGATTTATTATTTTGCATGTATTCAAAAATGATTGAAGTATGCTACATGTATTTTAAGTTTACTGTTATGCACCTGATTTATTTAGTATTAATTGTCACTTTTAAAAATGTTTACTCTAGGACACAAGCATATATGCATGTTACATGTACATGTACATGAATAATGTATATATACTAATAAAAGTGTAACATATTTCCTTACATATTATATGCATCATTTTAAAGATGAGATTTTAAAAATGCAATCTCACAATATATGACAAGTTTTAAATCATAATTGTCCACAAAATCATTATACTAGAAAAGGGGGGGGGGGGGGGGGGGGGGTGTGTGTGTGTGTGTGTAATTTAATCAAACAGTATCATTAGGTTTCTAGAACTATAAAAGTTAAGAAATACACTCAAAACACTATAATTGATGTTAAACAACAGTCAACAAAATAAAGAAAGGGTCACATGATACAACCACTTACTATAAAAGGTAAAGAACTAGGAAAACAAAACATAAGAAGCAAAAAGTCAATAGAACAGTGACCCAATATTTTGACTTAATAGTCTGTCAAGGGTTGTTGAGAAAAGAATACAGAAAAAAAACCAGACAATGTAAGTATAAAGTGGCGACAAGCTAAGATCTTCTAAAGTATCAAGTCAGAGTTCTTGTAAAGGCCTCATCTAAAAACAAAGAATATAGTACTAGTTGAAGTGGACAGATAAATATTATCCTGAAGGAAAACATGACAAATAGGATCAGTTACAAAAGAAATTAGTGCTGTTACAAAATTTTGGAAATTATTTTAAATTAAGGAATATATCTCCCTCATGCAAAGCTCTGATTCCTTGCCCGTCTTTGGCTATACTTTTTTGTCCTTTTTGGTTTATAGCTCTTCATCTCTTTAATAAGCTTTGGATTTTCAAATATTTTGGCCTCGAGCATCACTGAAGAGACATTTATTGTCGAAAATGTGCATCTGGTCCAGAAAAATTGGTACCTTTTATGTTATTACAATATTGTTAAAAATTCAGTCAGCTGTTGACACAGATTGCAATGTACATATACATGTATATTGTAAATAGAAGTTAACAAATAAGTGATGGTAATATTTTCCTGTTCTTTTCTCAATAATCTGTTACATTTTAGGTCAGTTATTCAGGGCCCTCATTCACTGCCTTTTAGCTTTCGTTGATTTAATGTTGTTTTTTTTTAGTTTTTAGTGCTGTACCTTTTTTTATTAATGTAACCACTGCTCAACATTTATAGGGAGCCTTGGTGGCCAGTGGTCTAAGGAGTTCATCTACTGTATCACTAGCCTGTCAACACTGAGGTTGTGTAGGAGCCTTGGTGGCCGAGTGGTCTAATTAGTTTATCTACTGTATCACTAGCCTGTCAACACTGAGGTTAAGAGTTTGAACCCAGCACACGGCAGGTGTGTGACTTAGATTGTCAGTTTTCCTGTCCAAAGTATGTGGTTCTCTTCAGGCACTCTGGCTTACTCTACCAATAAAAACTAACCGCCATGATATAGCCAAAAGTGCTGAAAGTGGTGTTAAAAACCAACAATCAACATGATCAATCAACACTTCGATCAATTGTCAATAATCTGTTTCTAAGTTTTTCGTCATATATAAACGTGTAAAACACCAACCACTTGACACAATATTTGTTTTAATATTTTTTATATACCTTTTCAATCATCTTTTTGTAAGAGATACTTAGGATGATATTTTGGCTCTCAATAATGACGACTTCAGTATGTATACTAAAGAAATTTATCCTGTTGAACTAATTTTAAATAAAGCTAATACTAACAATGACCACTGCCCTTTCCTCGATCTTGATATCTATATCACTAATGGAAAGCTTAATACTAAAATATATGATAAAAGAGATGATTTTTCATTTCCTATCGTTAATTATCCTTTTTTAGATGGTGACATTCCCTTGTCACCATCTTACGGTGTTTATATATCTCAACTTGTACGATTCGCTCGTGTATGTAACAATGTTTTAGATTTTAACGAGAGAAATTTATGTATTACTGAAAAATTATTACACCAGGGTTTTCGATATCACAAACTAGTCAAAACATTTACTAAATTTTATCATCGGTATAAGGACATCATTCGTAAATATAGCTCAACATGCAGACTTCTTATACGTTCAGGTATTTCACATCCAATTTTTTATGGAAATATTCTTTATAAAGCACAAAAATGTCAGTATTCACCTCTGAAGCTAACAAAACCTTTTAACAGACTTATTAAGAAGGGATATAGTTACGATACTGTTGTCAGGTCATTAAAGATTGCATATTTTGGCGTTAATATTGATTCACTTATAGGGTCTTTGCATCGGCACTAAACACATTTATTTAAAAACCAGTTGTTGGCATGACACGGGTTATGTTCTTCTCATATATGTTATGATGGTATGATACTAAACCCCTAACGGGAAGGATTGTGCCTGATATTCATATGATGAAGACATAATCTTTCAATCAGTTTAATTGAAGTCTGGAGCTGGCATGTCAGTTAACTGCTAGTAGTCTGTTGTTATTTATGTATTATTGTCATTTTGTTTATTTTCTTTGGTTACATCTTCTGACATCAGACTCGGACTTCTCTTGAACTGAATTTTAAAGTGCGTATTGTTATGCGTTTACTTTTCTACATTGGCTAGAGGTATAGGGGGAGGGTTGAGATCTCATAAACATGTTTAACCCCGCCGCATTTTTGCGCCTGTCCCAAGTCAGGAGCCTCTAGCCTTTGTTAGTCTTGTATTATTTTTAATTTTAGTTTCTTGTGTACAATTTGGAGTTTAGTATGGCATTCATTATCACTGAACTAGTATATATATTTGTTTAGGGGCCAGCTGAAGGACGCCTCCGGGTGCGGGAATTTCTCGCTGCATTGAAGACCTGTTGGTGACCTTCTGCTGTTGTCTGTTCGATGGTCGGGTTGTTGTCTCTTTGACACATTCCCCATTTCCATTCTCAATTTTATTAGGTATATACATGTATCTAAGGTCATGTCGCAAGATTTCATTATATTATTTGTTTGTTTAATAATGTTTAATAACAACTTCTTTACAAAAATTTGTGTCACAGTGAATATTCATTTTTGTGTCTCATCTGCTTTGTAAATTAACATTTTATATATATAATTATTTTCATATAATTTTATGATGATTAATTCAATGATAGTATTACCAATACATGTACCTGCACCTGTAGATCAATTGCCTGTAAAGATTTTTGTAATGACTGGAGTAGGGCTGGAACATCTGCTGTGCTTGAAGTACGTGTTGATTAAAATAGGTGATCCGTACAAGTACCTGTACATACAGTATACACAAAAGTTGAGAGAATTACTTTCTTGTATTGGAAACACTATAAAAATGATGTTAGCTAAGCTATGACCCTATCATATACATGTAATATCTATGAAATATACAGATATTTCAAAGTAAATCACTACAGAAGTATTTTCAACTAGATCCCTTTGTCATGTTTGTGTGTACTGTACATGCAGGTGTGACGAATTACTAAGAATACTAAGGTTCCTTTCTGTTTTCTGTTATCTATAAAAAGTACTGTGAAAGGTTGAGAAAAAGACGAAAAGAATCATTGGAGATTTTATGAAAAATTCTTGCTAATCAATCGTTCAGATTTGTATCAGAGAATCAGTCATTTATGTCGCCCCTAAAGGTCCTACCAGTGTTTACTAAGGAATGATAAATGAAGTTTTATCGTTATAAGTTTCAAAAGTTGCTTCATTAATAATCATTTTTAGAGCCATGTAGATTTTACTGCATGATATGAACATTGTATTGTATACCTATTGATATTCAACATGGTCATGATGGTCTCATTTTTTGTTTGGTTGCTGTCTCACATTCTTAAATATGATACATATACATGTATGTTAAATAAGGTTAAAAATTACCATATATGATAGAATATTCCAATATCATAAGATCATTAAAATTGCATTGAATACTTACCGTTACATTTTATGCTTCGATGCAACAACTTGGAACATATTTGTATATTTGTATATTTCATGTATTTGGTATATGCACTTTAATGTACACTTAAAAAATATACAACTACATGTATGATACAGATGATTTTGAATTGAGATATAAACAAACTTAACCATAGACATCAAAGATCAGACTTGTTTTCTATCCATTTGTAATTTTTTCTTATTTTGACAATGAAAATGAATTAGAGTACTAAGTAATCTAGCAGAAATGATTGCCTGAGCATTGAATATTACTTTTAAGTTATCTTTGTTTTATAATGTTCAGTTTTCTTGTATGATTATAGACCAATTTCAAGTTCTTAATTATGAATGATTGATTGATTGATTGTTTAATATCCAGTGGCAAATATTTCAGGCATGTTCAGGAAGAGACACAAATGAACAATAAATACAATATGTAGGTCCTGTAATAGAGGTCGTTTTGGATGAAGGTGGGGGAAATTTGGACTTCCACTGGAAAATGAGGGCATATTAGATAATGTTGTGTTTTGTGTACTATTGTTTATCTGTTTGTCTTTTTCTTTTTATGCCCCCGCAGTAGTGGAGGGGGCATTAAGTTTTACCCTTGTCCGTCTGTACGTACGTAAGTACGTCCGTCCATACGTACGTCCCAAAGTTGGTTTCCTTTCTCTGACTGTAGTTTGCCTCAACTAAATGTTATGAAACTTATACACAATGCTTATTACTTTTAAATACAGATCAAATTTGAATTTTGGTGGCATCACTTTTACCGTTCTAGAATTATGCCCCTTTACAAATGGAAAAATTGCTAAATATTTTGTTTCCGTTCTATACCTTCAGTTTGCCTCAACCAAATGTTATGAAACTTATACACAATGCTTATTAACACAATATACAGATCAAGTTTGAATTTTGGTGCTGTCGCCCTTTACTAATTTTTCATTTGTTTAGCCATGGCGTTGTCATTTTATTTTCGATTTATGAGTTTGATGTCCCTCTGGTATCTTTCGCCCCTCTTTTACAGAAATTTTGCTTTGTATCAGACTACCTTCAGACTTCAAAGAGTTGTTGCAAGGGTTCTTAACATGCAGAGATAGGGCACTCTCTCTACACGAGGCATCAGATTTAACGTCCCCATTCTGACAGACATGGCTGAGAACTTATACATCGTGCACAGCTAAAAGGTCGCCCCACTTTGGCAAGAGTTTTATTGCCGATTGGAAGATAAAGGGTGACCATATTTCTATTCCCCAGTCACCCTTGGGTGTTATTATGAATGAGTATTGGTCAATCAACCTTTACTGTGACGTAATTAAATATAAGCATCGTGACACAGGGAATGTAACATAAACTACACAAATGTGAAAAACGTCTGTTAAGTTTCTTTTTTTTTTACATGGGTATTAATTGGTTGACATTTACCCATGTTATTGAATGTAATCTTTTATTTTCAGAACTCACTACATTATATAAATAACCATGCCAGAATACTGTCCAAGATGTGATAAACTTGTTTACTTTGCTGAAGAAATTGTAGCTCTGAGCAAAAAATGGCATAAGTTGTGTTTTAAATGTGGTAAGTTATATAATTCTATTCAAAATGTGTTTAACTATATTTATGTACATTGTACCTGTATGTTAAAAAAAAATACTAACAAATAAGAAAGATGCTTGATTTTAATAAGGCATAAATAGCCAAAAATATTAATAATTTATTTTAATGGATTTTATATGATATAAGTACTGTACCGGTATATCAGTACTACTGTAATAAAAAAAAAATTGTCTTGCTTTCATTAAGAGACTGAGTTTCTTACAACATCCTCTCTTTTAAGCTTTTTTCTTGATGCAAAAAATACCAATACTTTGATAGTCTTTGCTAAAATTATTAAGGATTTGTCTAGATTTTATAGAGTGACATGTACGCTTAGCACATTCTAGACTTTGAGCTGTTTGTTGTTTGTCTTCTTTGTACATGTATGTCTGTTGGTATTTAGCTGACCTTGTCTGAAGGGCCAGTGTGAGCTTTTGTTATTACTTGGCGTCTGCTGTCTGTCGTTATAATCCGTCGCCTGTTAACTTTTACAAAGATCATTTCCTCTTAAACTAATATGCCAAATTTGACCAAACTTGGCCTCAATCATCAATAGGGTATTTAGTTTAAAAGGTGTGTCTGATGACCAGCCTGCCGACAAACTTGGCCGACATGGCTAAAAATAGAACATAGGGGTAAAATGCAATTTTCATCTAATATCTTGAAAACTACTATAGATACAGAATATCTGACATGGGAAAAACCATGTTCAAAATGATGAGATCTACATAATGTCTATCGACATCAAAACTGTCAAACGACAGGAGTTATTGCCCTCAAACAACAAATTTTTCCAATTTGTTTCATTTCTGCCTAATATTATCTATTATAATATGTAGACAGAAACTTTAAATAGAAAAAATGATCAGCAAGACTAGGTTTACAAATAAGTCAACATGATCGAAATCATCAGTTGACACTTTATTGAAGTCACTACCTTAAATGATGAGTTTTCCCTTTTATTGTTTGGCTTTTTGGCTTTTATCTTGAAATCTATAATAGATAGAAAATTTAATAGCAAAAATGATCAGCAAGACAAGATTTACAAATAAGCCATATGGTTGAAATCTTCAGTCAACTAGTTATTGGAGTTATTGCCCTTTAATGATAATTTTTACAATTTTTTTCTTGCATTTTTTGCCTATTATCTTGAAAACTGTAATAGCTAAATAGAAACTTTGAAAAGGAAAATGATCAGTGGGATAAAATCTACAAATAAATCAACATTACTGAAATAGTCAGTTTCATTGTAACTTTTAATATAATTATTCCCTTTTAATGATGATTTTTACTAAAAAGTGGTCATTGTAATAGATGCAGATCAGTGACACAGGCTCTTTAGAGTTTTTCTGGAAGAGTCTAATCATGAAATGTTGGTGGTTGTTGTGGTTTGTTGTATTGTCCAGTATTGTTGATAATTTTTAGTCTTATTTTATAAATACTATTTTGTTTTTGAAGATCATATGTGTTTGTTTTTTTCGGTTGCAGTCTCATTGACAAATTGACAAATACCCCATATTATCATTTAATCATTATCTTAACAGTCTTGGCTTAAAAGGAATATGTTCAATAAGGGCCCCTTATATGGCACCTATTTCTAGCTAAAATTTCAAGTTTAGGATTTATTGACCAATATCACAATGAATCATAGTTAAATGAATGAATTGATAGGAAATGTGTTTTTTCTTGAAAATTTCACATTAGCGTTCTTTTCATGACATCACAAATAGCACACATTTTGTTTTTTTTCATGAAAATAGGTCAATTTCCATTCATTTTTGGGACTGGACTCGTGCAACAACAAAAATGATCTTTTTATGTAATTTTTGTTATAACATTTTACATATATCTGACTTCAATATTGAGGTTGTTGAAGCTTGTTATCTTTGTTTCCTAGGCCTAGATTTAGTTGAAATCAAGATGATTTTGTCAAATTTCACAAAAATCTCTACCTTTATTTATTTAGGTTGTAAATGTTAATGCATTATAAAAAAAGCGTTACAAAAAAGTTATACATGTATGTATTTCACTTTCTAATGTGTCTTGTCATCAACTTGGAACATTTTTTTTATCTTGAAACAATGGACCTAATATCTGGAGCCAAATATGACCTATACTGAACTTACTCCTTTAGTATATTTAAATGTACATGTACTATGTAATACTAAGGTACAAAAATGTACATGTAACTTTTGGTCCAGTCTTTACAGTAGCAGGACTAATTTAGATAAATTTTTTTAAACTATCAAGATATTAAGTAAGCACTAGTTAAGAAGATTATCATTAAATATCAGACTATGTGTTCTTGTCAGCATTGATATACTAGTTTTTATATGTACATATATTGAAAGAAAATTTGATGCCAAGAGTCCATATTTTATTAGGTGAACGTGAGTGAAAGTGTGATTAATGAGCCTTTGGCATCAGGTTTATTTAGCTTGGTCTGTTTTAGAATGATTATTTTAGTTGCTGTCAATAAGATTAAAGGATATGATACAATCTGCCATCAGTCAGCTAGATTTCAATAAGCAGTTATTAAAAACGATCACAAATTTATTGTTTTGATCTATCAATTCTGTGCTCTAGAATGAGTTACAATGCATATTTTTATACGACCGCAAAAAAATTTTGTGGTCGTATATTGGTATGACGTTGGCGTCGTCGTCGTCGTCGTCGTCGTCGTCGTCCGGCGTCGTCGTCGTCGTCCGGCGTCGTCGTCCGAATACATATTGGTTTTCGCACTCTAACTTTAGTTTAAGTGAATGGATCTTTTTGAAATTTGACCATAAGGTTAAATACCACAAAAGGAAGGTTGGGATTGATTTTGGGGGTTATGGTACCAACAGTTAAGGAATTAGGGGCCAAAAAGGGGCCAAAAATGAGCATTTTCTAGTTTCCAGACAATAACTGTGGAACGGTGTATGGATCTCTCTGAAATTATACTACAAGTTTCCATACCACAAAGGGATGGTTAGGATTTGCTTTGGGGGGTTATGGCTCAAACCGTTTAGGAATTAGGGGCAAAAAAGGGGGAAAAACAAGGTTGTCCTGGTTAATGGACAAATACTTTAGTACAAAACATAATTTAAAGCAGTGTAAGGGAGATAAATCAAATACATCATTGAAATTATCTCCCTTACACTGCTTTTAAATTATGTATAAAGTAATGGCTAATGAACAATAAAGATAATCTAAAACAGTGTAAGGGAGGTAATCCAAATACAACGTTTTGGTTACTTCCCTTACACTGCTTTTAAATTATGTTTAAAGAAATGCATATTTATAAAGGAAGACCAGTAAAAATATCTGCAAATGTTTTCATCTTTTTTTTTTACAAAAAAATCCATATGAAAGATTTGACACTATATTTTTATTAATTCTATTATAAAATAGATTAAGTTAGCACTATGGTAAATTTAAATGGGTAATTATGGTTGCCAACTCCATTGGAAATTTGAATTGAGATTATGACCATATCTTGAGGGAAAGAATTTTTTTGGGGGAAAAAGGGGGGGGGGGGATAAAAAGAAATTGTGGGGGGCCAATTTTTTCTCATTTCAGATTTCAGAAATTAAAAAGAATTATTCTTCAAATATTATTTTTTTTTCAAATTTCAAATATTGAAAAATTTCAAGAAGTAATCTTTAATTGCACAGTATGGCGCATTAGATTTGTAAAATCTTTGATCACATTTATTTATTTGTTATGCCGAATCTAACAGTGTATTTAGATTTTTAATTTTGGGTCCAGTTTTCAAATTGGTCTACATTAATGTCCAAAGGGTCCAAAATTAAACTTTGTTTGATTTTAGCAAAAATTGAATATATGAGGTTCTTTGATATGCTGAATCTAAACATGTATTTAGATTTTTGATTTTTGGCCCAGTTTTCAAGTTGGTCCAAATTGGGGTCCAAAATTAAACTTTGTTTGATTTCAACAAAAATTGAATATATGGGGTTCTTTGATATGCTGAATCTAACCATGTATTTAGATTTTTTATTTGTGGACCCCGTTATCTAATTGGTTCATATTGAGGTCAAAAGGGTCCAAAATTAAACTTTGTTTGATTTCATCGAAAATTGAATTATTGGGGTTCTTTGATATGCCAAATCTTACCGTGTTTTTAGATTTTTAATTTGGGTCCCGTTTTTTAAATTGGTCTTCATTGAGGTCCAAAGGGTCCAAAATTAAACTTAGTTTGATTTTAACAAAAATTGAATTCTTGGGGTTCTTTGATATGCTGAATCTAAACATGTGTTTAGATTTTTGATTATGGGCCCAGTTTTCAAGTTGGTCCAAGTTGGGGTCCAAAATTATATTTTTTTTGATTTCAACAAAAATTGAAAATATGGGGTTCTTTGATATGCTGAATCTAACTATGAACTTAGATTTTTTATTTGTGGGCCCCGCTATCGAATTGGTTCATATTGAGGTCAAAAGGGTCCAAAATTAAACTTTGTTTGATTTCATCAAAAATTGAATTATTGGGGTTTTTTGATATTCCAAATCTAACCGTGTATTTAGATTTTTAATTTTAAGTCCGGTTTTTTAAATTGGTCTACATTAAGGTCCAAAGGGTCCAAAATTAAACTAAGTTTGATTTTAGCAAAAATTGAATTCTTGGGGTTCTTTGATATGCTGAATCTAAACATGTGTTTAGATTTTTGATTATGGGCCCAGTTTTCAAGTTTGTCCAAGTTGGGGTCCAAAATTAAACTTTGTTTGATTTTAACAAAAATTGAATATATGGGGTTCTTTGATATGCTGAATCTAACCATGTATTTTGATTTTGGACATTGGACCATAATAGGTAAATTAAAAAAATTCAAGTTCTTAGACCACATTCTTTCTGTGTCAGAAACCTATGCTGTGTCAAATATTTAATAACAATCCAAATTCAGAGCTGTATCAAGCTTGAATGTTGTGTCCATACTTGCCCCAACTGTTCAGGGTTCGACCTCTGCGGTCGTATCAAGCTGCGCCCCAGCGAAGCATTTTATTACATAATATCAAGTTTGACCTTTGCACTTTAGTAGTTATTTCCACTGTATTTTAATTTTCAGATACATGTTAAAGCTAAAATCTAGTAAAAGTCACAGCTATTTACAAGTAACATGTTATATAAGGCATATTGAAGATTATTTAGAAATATTTTAAGCATAACACAGTTTCTCCATTAAGATAATAAGAATTTTTAAGATAGTGTATTTCAGGATGAGATGTTAAGGTTGTTAGACAGTAGAAAATATTAATCTTTTGGTCAAAAATATGTCAGTGTGAGCTGGCCCAATCACCTGATATTGTTTCTCTATTAATTCTGCTTTTTTAAACTCATGAAATTTCATTAGAAGACATGAAGCAAAAGTGACCTGAATTATCCTAAAGGTACTCATACTCAACTTTTCTCTTTAACTCAGACTTCTGTCCTGCAGGTGTAAATGCCTTTTATGGTCAAACATCAAAAGTGTAAATGCCTTTCATCGTCAAACATCAAAAGGTGATTTTTGACTTCCCTTATGCATAAAAATAAATCAAAATTTTACTGTAAATGATCAATTTTTTAAATTGATTAATAAATTAATGAAAACAAATTTATACTGAGCTTGTAAAACTACTCATGGTTATTGTTCTATTTGGTCAAACTGCCAATGTAGTTAAGGATTTATTTGTGACTCAAGTTACATTCTTCTTCTATGTAAACACAATACATTTTGTAGTCTTGATTGATTGATTATTGGTTGTTTAATTTAATACTGAATACAAAATTATTTTGACTGTAAATCAACATTCTATTTAACCAGGCCTAAAAAGGTCTCTACATCTAATATTTTCCTATGATGACAAAGACGTTTCAGAATTTTCTAGATTCTACATGTACAACAACAGTAATGTACATGTATTTTTTCCGGACCATATGAGTATTTGGACCATACGTGTATGGTCATGACCATATGGGTATACTCGTACGTTCCGACCATAGGCGTATGGTCAGGTCATCTGAGTATATACTTGTTTGGTTATTAACGGGCCAAACCATATAAGTATTTAGACCATATAGTTATTTTTAGAATAAATTCTGACTTCCTTCATAGGAACACATGGCTCGTTCTCCGAACAGAGATCGATACAAGTTACTAACTGAAACCCTTTATCTTTGACATATTGTCTGACTCTTCGTATGTCTGTTGTCTTGCCTTAGCTAGGGTCAATTTTAAGCTTCTTTACGCTGTCGACAATTTCGTGCGGGCGTTTGAGGCATGTACCTTTTTTATGCCCCCGCCGTAGCGGTGGGGGCATTAAGTTTTACCCTTGTCCGTCTGTACTTACGGATGTCCGTACGTCCCAAAATTGGTTTCCGTTCTCTAACTTGAGTTTGCCTCAACCAAATGTTATGAAACTTATACACAATGCTTATTACCACAAAACACAGATCAAGTTTGAATTTTGGTGCTGTCACTTTAACCGTTCTAGAGTTATGCCCCTTTATAAATGGAAAAATTGCAAAATTTTTAGTTTCCGTTCTCATACTTAAGTTTGCCTCAACCAAATGTTATGAAACTTATATACAATGCTTATTACCACAAAACACAGATCAAGTTTGAATTTTGGTGGTGTCACTTTAACCGTTCTAGAGTTATGTCCCTTTATAAATGGAAACATTGCAAAATTTTTATTTTCTTCTAAATATCAAGTAATTTTAAAATTGGAGTTATCTTCCTTTGTCCATGATTATAGTTGAATCAACTACAATCAATGCTTTATACAATGCAATGTTTAATGTTGACTTCCACTGATAAAACACAGATCAAGTTGAATTTGGGTACTAGTGTCACTTTAACCATTATTGAGTTATACCCTTTATAAATCGAAAGATTGCAAAATTTTTAGTTTCCATTCTGTAACTTAAGTTTGCCCCATCCAAACATTATGAAACCTATTCATGATATTCATTACCACAAAACTAAGATCATGTACAAATTTTTTGTATCTGTTTTCTAACTTTAGTTTGCCTCAACTAAATGTTATGAAACTTATACACAATGCTTATTACTACATAATACAGATTAAGTACGAAATTTGATGGCGACACTTTTACCATTCTTGAGTTATGTCCCTTTATAAACATAAAAATTGCTGAATTTTTTAGTTTGTCTCAACCAAATGTTATAAAACTTATACATAACCATTCTAGAGTTATGCGTGTTTACAAATAGAAAAATTGCTGAATTTTTAGATTCTGTTCACTACTTAAGTTAGCTTCAACCAAATGTTATGAGACTTACACACAATGCTTATTACCACAAAACTCAGATCAAGTTCAAATTTGGGTAGCATCACTTTACCGTTCTTCAGTTATGTCCCTTTATAACTATATGATATGCAAGCGGGGGCATCATCTGTGTCCACATGTGGACACTATCCACATTTATTTCTTTTTATGTCCCTCTTTTTTCCTGGCGTTTAGATATTTTTTATTTTATTTTTTTCTGATTTCCACTTATTCTTACTTAAGAATAGAGGGGCAGCACGTGTAAACTACTGTAATTGTAAAATCGTATAATTGAAAAAGGAGCATACACAAATTAAATTACTAAAATTTTTTTGAAATATTTAAGAAACTTTAACGTGTTTAAAGAGTCGACATATTGTGTTACGTAAGAAAAATCAATAATGACCATGCAAAAATACTTTAACTATAATTTTAATTTTTGAGTAAAATGGTTAATTTAATTAATTATCATGTAACAATGGTTATCAAGGGATTATATAAGTCCAACTTCTTTTTTAAAATGTCTTAATTTATGACACCTTGAAGGGTGCAATTAATAGTTCAGTTAACTTATCAACGTTCATTGTATTAATTACCTGGAGCATACGCGTATGGTCGGACCATATGAGTATATACGCATATGGTCATGACCATAAGCGTATGGTCCAAATTCTCATATTGTCCAGAACATATTCATCATTTGATGATTTAAACAGACTTTTAAATAACTTGATCGTGATACTTGTATAACAGATTGCACATTGATAATTTTTAACAGGAAATTGTAACAAGCTGTTGGACAGTACGTCTTGTACAGGTCATGATGGGGATGCTTTCTGTAAAGCCTGCTATGGAAAGCTGTTTGGACCAAAAGGATATGGATTTGCATCTGGTGCTAGTGGACTCTCTATGGATACAGGCAGACCATACCATGTCACAAGAGAGTAAGTCTTTATTGAAATAAGAATGTTGTCAATTTAACATGTTTAAGAAACAAATAATGTGAATAATATAAATGTTAAAGCACTGTCAATTGTTAAAATAAGCACAATGTCCAATGTTATTGCACAATGATTTTTTTTATTTGCATTTTTAATTGTGTTCCTCATTTTGAGACACATTCATAGAATCTTTTGTATCTATTGGCATATCACCCTTTTTCTACCTGAATCAATTTCTATTCTCAGTAGTAAAACATGGTCATTGCAACATCTATACCAATGGAATGAGCAGGGTATCAGTTTATTAACTCTGCTAGTAAAACATGGTCATTGCAACATCTATACCAATGGAATGAGCAGGGTATCAGTTTATTAACTCTGCTCACAGTTTTCCAGTTTCAGTTTTTCTAGTTCTTGAAAGGTCCTTAGAGATCCTTAGAATTTTGATTTTCTGTTTAACATATGCAGTCATCCTGTTTTCCGGTCTCTACTTGCTTAATATTGCTGTAACTTGCTATTGAAGTAACCACAAGTATCATACACCTGTCAGTGCAGTTTTGTTTAATATGTAGTTTTTTATCCATGTTATATCATGTATATGTAATTTGAATCACTATATGTGTATCTATATAAGTGTTACACAGTAAATTAATTTAAGAAATTGTAACAGATGTTCAGGTATTCTTTATAAAACACTGTCATACTAATTAGTTTGAAATGGTTATAAGAATGTCTTTTTCAGAAATCAATAGAATTGCATGACAGCAGCTGATCATTTCTCTTAAGATAATTCTAAAATAGTACATCTCCTGAAAAATGGTATTCTTTTGTATGATTAAAGTTGGTCACTGACGATAATGCACATTTTTAACTTGTAACTTAGAACATGAAAACTTTAATGATATATTGATCAGTAAAATTATATGGACACAATGATAGTAATGGAATATGAAGATGCTACCTCAATTCTTGCAAATGAAAGTACAAAAATGTACTATGAAATAATTATTTCCTGATATAACAATTCAGGGTGAACTTATGCTTCCAGATATGAAAAATGAGTCAAAGGATCATTAATCAGTTGTTTCTAAAAATAGGTATCCCAAGATAGGTTTTTATTTTAGAAACATTGTTAAGTTTAGACATGCTAGATTGATGATTATAAAAAGTGTGAGCTGACTTGTGATTTACGTAAATCTGACACATAATATGATGAATGCTGTCTGGGCAGCAGCATTTGGTTTCAAGGTACATAAGGTGATCATCTCTTTATTCATAGATCAAATCAAAGATTTGAACTGAATCCACAGTAATTAATTTCATATGAAATGATGCTCTTTCATTTCAGTAGAAAATTTAGCAGAAGTTTTAATTTTAAAGTTTTACTTTCAGATATCAAAATGTGAATAAATATATATTTTTGTTTTTGAAAATTTATATGAAATGAAAGCAAGTGATCATTACATTTTTAGCAAGATGCTCTTCCGTGCTACATTCAATATGTGATGGTCAAATCCTTTCATTTCTTATAAATTTAATCAAGTTTTGTGTTCATGATAACATTAATCAGGTGTTTCAGTGGATCCAAAAGTCTTTTCATCTCATTGATGACCGTGAGGGCATTCCGATGTATTGCTATCGCCTAGATTTCCATTACGTAACTTTCGTTTTGGGTTTGTAACCGATCTATAAACATGATAAATACACGGATATTAACGAGTTAAAAAAAACATTCCTTATCGTTTGTTATAAATACATCTCTTCAATGAATACTGATAACAATATTTTTGTTTAGAACATAAATTAATAATATGAAAATGTTTTGTCGTTAGATATATATATATAAGTAAAAAATCATTGATATGGTAAAGTGTGCGGAAGAATATCTCAAGAACATTTTGCGACAATCCCGGCAAGGACGGGTAACTCTGCATGGAAGATTGTTTTTGCGGGAAAATATGAATGCCTACTCATATCCAATCTTTTAGAAAAATCGAATTTTTACAGAAGAGTGTCCACCATGCACTTGCACTGCACTCTTATTAGAATAGTAGAATAGAATGATATACAAATGGATGAAAATTATATATACATGTAACTGTTATATTAATATAATATATAACAACAAACCAGTGTATTCTGATTTGTATCACTACAATAAAATAGTTATTACGGTGAGGTTTTAATTTCCTGTCATTTATTCATCATCCACGCACGAACTTGTCTCAGAAAAAAAAAAATCTCTGTACATTAACCTCAGTTTCAGGTATAGAGATGTGATTTTTTTCTGTGACAAGTGCTTTTGACAATCCACAAGAACTTGCGGTCATCCGATGTTCAGTACTTCAGTACTTTGATATATTGTTTTTTTTAGGCTTTTAGAATATAGCTATAAATAGGGATGAACAATTGAATAATCAAGAGGCCCTGACATCTTCCAGCATGCTGAAACACTAATTTGTAATAGACAGACTAAAGCATTATAAACTGCAATAAGTCAAGATGCATTCAATAGAATAGACATCAAATCATTTTAAAACAAAGTTACCATTAAAACGTTTAAACCCGCTGCGTTTGTTTGCACCTGTCCTAAATCAGGAATCTGATGTTTAGTAGTTGTCGTTTGTTGATGTGGTTCATAAGTGTTTCTCGTTTCTCGTTTTTTATATAGATTAGACCGTTGGTTTTCCCGTTTGAATGGTTTTACACTAGTAATTTTTGGGGCCCTTTATAGCTTACAGTGAGTGTTCGGTGTGAGCTGAGTGAGTGAGTGAAGTTTGAAGGCTCTGTGTTGAAGACCGTACTTTGACCTATAATGGTTTACTTTTACAAATTGTGACTTGGATGGAGAGTTGTCTCATTGGCACTCATACCACATCTTCCTATATCTATTAAATTGTCATTAGTGTAATCAGTGTGATGAGTCACCAACATAGCTTAAGGACATTAATAATCACTTCAATTTCATTAAAGTTCCGTGCCATGGTGGAATTAATTAATCAATGAATTCATGGACATCATTGTTGCTTTATCACCTGCAAAATTGTGAAGTTGTAGAAAATATAATTAAAAGTATGGATTTTGTCAATTTCTTGGCTTCCCCTGATATTCTTTAAACTTCCACTTCCATTTTCAAAATAAATATTTATGAATTGGAAATAAATCTCATGAGATGTCATTACCTTCTAAAGTTTGTTTATTCAGTTGCTCAGAAAGTCAGGAAAATCTGTATTCTGCTCACAGATATTTATTTATAGTGGAATAATGCATTGTAAACAATAAGCTAGCAATGTGTTTTGAATGACTTGTGTACATTGGAAAAAAATGCCACAGTTTCAAATGGTTACTAACTTTATGTAAACTCAACAGATGGTTTTTACTTGAATAAGTTGGGATTTTACCGTTCTGAAGGAATAATCTATGCATATTATTTAAAGAAGATTTTATAGTGCCATAAAAGTTTCTAAAATAATATAAAAATTTTTGCAATAAGGAGTTTGTGATTTGTGTTACTTTGCATGTGAGATTTAAAGAAATTCATTGAAATTAAAACAGAAATATAATAGTGTTTAAAAGGAAGAATATTTGTTGGTGAGGATATAAACAGAATAGAATATTCAAACTGAAGTACAGGACATTGACTGTGATTTTTATATAGTTCTTTGTTGCCTTCTTGGAATATAATTTCCTTTTGTTCCTATTCATGTCCATTGCTGTGACATTGAAGATTAAACTGTCATCTGAGTGTTTTGTTTTAATGAACTTTTGATTTGGTCTTTAGACAATGTGTAAAAACATGAATGGGGAGGTAAGTTTTTAAAGAGGATACAACAATTTATTTATTTGTTGATTTCAAGGGTTGGAATTTGGAAACTGGGTTAATGGGAGGAGGTATTGTTTAAAATGATTGGTCCTGTATCAGGTTAAAAATTTGGTTTAAGATAGGTTAAATTCTCAATCTGTGGATTCATTTATTTTCGTGGGTATCAATTTTCCTGGATTGAGGAAAACTTGCATTTTCGTGGATATTTGATTTCGTGGTTTTGCCAATCTCTGCATACAAAGCCTATAGAAAATTTTTAATTCGTTGGAATATTTGAATTTGTGGTCCAACTTTTTCCACGAAACCCACGAAAATTGGTATCCAACGAATAATAATGAATCCACAGTAGGTTAAATAGATATGAGAAGATGTGGTATGAGTGCCAATGAGACAACTCTCCATCCAAGTCACAATTTGTAAAAGTAAACCATCAAAGTAAGGCCTTCAAAACGGGGCCTTGACTCACACCATACAGCAACCTATAAAGGGCTCCAAAAATGACTAGAGTAATACCATTCAAACAGGAAAACCAACGGTCTTATCTATATAAAAAATTCGTAAGGGTTCCATGGAACCCAGTGTCTCGCCTACTTTTGCTGTTATCTATGTTTTCAGTGTGATAGGGGAATGCACATAATAGATTTACAGTTAATGAAATAAAACGTTTGAAATGTATGAAAAAAGTTATGCTCCTAAAAATGAATACAGTATGCAATCAAATCTATAGATTTATAAAAGAGTTGAAACATAAATTTATTGAATGAACAAATGATAAAGAAGATAATTTTTACATTGTTTGATGATTTATCCCTTAATTCAGGAGACGACAGAATGTAGGATCGCTATGTCAACAAAAATGGGGAAAAATTATTAAAAATTTTCCTCTTGATACTATCTTTTGATTGTAAGAAGCTTTTGTCCAAGTTTGGTAAAAATCCAGGATGGTTTATGAATCTAATAAATGTTTTAAAAACTTTAACTGCAGACTGTATGTAATGTTAACTGGAAGAAAAACTAAGTCCATTTATAAGTAATATACAGAAAAACAGGAAATAAATTTTTACAAAATTTCCTTCTAGATACTAGCTTTTGATCATAAACAAGCTTCTGTCCAAGTTTGGTAAAATTCCTGGATAGTTTAAGAAAGTTATTAAAATTTTAAAAACATTAACCACAGAGTGAATGTAATGTTAACTGGCAGAAAAACTAAGTCCATTTTTAAGTAAAATACGGAAAAACAGGTTTTTTTTTTTACAAAATTTACTTCTTGATACTATCTTATGATCATAAACAAGCTTCTGTCCAAGTTTGGTACAAATCCAGGATAGTTTAAGAAAGTTATTAAAATTTTAAAAACTTTAACCACAGAGTGAATGTAATGTTAACTGGCAGAAAAACTAAGTCCATTTATAAGTAAAATACGGAAAAACAGGATTTTTTTTTTTACAAAAATTTACTTCTGGATACTATCTTATGATCATAAACAAGCCTCTGTCCAAGTTTGGTAGAAATCCAGGATAGTTTAAGAAAGTTATTAAAATTTCAAAAACTTTAACCACAGAGTGAATATTTGTGGACGCCGCCAACGACGACGACGACGGAATGTAGGATCGCTTTTTCGACAAAAGTTGAAGGCTCGACAAAAACGAGAAACACTTATGAACCACATCAACAAACAACAACCACTGAACATCAGGTTCCTGACTTAGGACAGGTGCAAACAAGTCCAGATTTAAAAATAGGTTAAAATTAAGATTTAAGGCAGTTTACCATGAAGTTGTGGTCAAAACAACTAGAAACATTGTACACATGTTCTTTATGGTATTTTTCAAAATATGTGACAAATTAGGGTTTTACTTAGATTTCAAGATGCATGGAAATGTGATAATGAGAGTGGGACAAGGTGTCCTATAGACACATTCTTATTGTTGGCATATTTTTAGAAAGAAAAGTCAAATTCAATTTTTTCTCATACTGAACAAATATAAAATATATACCTTAAACCTCACCTGTGAGCCTTGGGTATGTAGATTTACACTTTTCTGTCCATACACAAGTTCATAACTTAGAAAATACCTTAGAATTTGATTCAAGCTATTTTGAATGAATAAGTAAGTTAGGTGAACCAACACCTTCTGGCAGTACAAGCTGGTTATTTTAGTCTATTTCTAAATCCTATGATGGTGTATAAAGGCTTATCACTTCTTAAATCCTCTTTAGAGTAAGTACAACATTGACCTCATTTCATGCTTCAAGAAAATAGTACAGCATTGATTAACCACTTTTGAGCCATTTTGACCCATATTTCATTCTTCATTGACAATTTTTCACCCAAACCTGCTATTGATGGGACTTTAATCATTTAATGTGTCAATCTGATTTCCAATCACAAAGAAACAGCAATGATATTTCTGCCACTACGGTCCTATGAAACCTGACAATATGGTTCTGTAATTCTTTGTTTTTGTTTTATGTAAATGTAGATGCAATAAATTTTATACTTTTTGCTATTTAAAAGATAGGAGAGGTAGGTTAAGGGAATGAGGGATTAAATATTCACCCCATAAAATATATAAAACAACTCAAGGTCTATTTGTTAGAGGATTTCATATTGTTGCAAAATTACTAACTTCCATGAAATACGCCAGTTTTGCCACAATTTCTTTTCCAGAGTTATGGCGCTTGAATGATGTCTCAAAAACACAAGACAGTTTCTTGATAGTAAATTAAAATTGCTTTGGTATAGGACCTTTTAACTATGCTTGTAACTATGTTACAATTTCAAGACAACTCTTATCTTAAATGCTGCCACAATTACCATTACAGAGTTATGACTCCTTTAAATGTGGTAGCTTTCCAACATAGTTTGTAGGATGGGGCGTCATTGCCTTGTAGAACTGTAGATTCATTATTATTGTTGGGATACCAGTTTTTGTGGACATTGTGGACTTATGTTAACTATAAATTAAGTTCACAATATGTTTGCCTAACCACAAAATCAAATACCCACAAAACTTGATTTATTCCTCTACATGTATCTTCGAATTTAATAAATCAACAGTATATAAGAAACCTACATTAAAAGCTGTCATTATTAATATAAAATCAGTCGTAGCTTTTTATGATATAGAATTCATGGTTAGGTTAAACTTGATAGCCATGATTAAATAGTAAACCAATTTGCTCTGATTTCTAAGTATTTCTGAATCATGGTATTATATGTTTTGCTTGTTATGTATATTTATCTTACGAGTAATATCACTGTTTCAATAATGTTAAGGGTAAGTGGGTTTTTTTAATATTTACTTTCTTGAGTTTTTTGTCTCCAAAAACCTTGTTATATTCCAAGTTACATAATGATAGGGTGGCATTGTGTTTATGGTTAGAATTAATGGAAATTGAACTCTATATGAGTTACCAAGTAAATACATTATACAAGATTACAAGTTACATTTAACTACATATATGATATTTTTTTTACAACTTATTCTTAAGATTTTCTCCTATGACTGCCATTAGAAGTACAGTTATGATACCTTGATTACATAGTTGACAATGTAAAAACATTTTGGATAAATACAGATTACAAGTACAGATAACATGCTGTTGTTTTTTTGTTTCAGTAATGTGTCACACATACAGACAGCTCAAATAGCCCCCAAGTTAAACAACGGAACAGAGAAGCCAAGGTTAGGATTAGCTGATGGTTGTCCACGATGTGGTAGACAGGTTTATTTTGCTGAGGAAAAGAGAGCACTAGGAAAAAAGTGGCACAAAATTTGTCTGAGTTGTCGTAAGTAATTGTTGTACATGTAACAACAATCTTTCAACGTATTGAATACTGTCGATTCACTTATTTTTGTGGATAACATGCAATTTTGGTGGATTGAAGAAAAAATTAACATTTGTTGATATTTGATTTCCTGGTTCTGACAAAGTCTGCTTACAAGCCTATGGAAAATTTGTACTTCATTAGACATTTAAATTTGTTATTTCATAGATACATGTATACCAACAAAATCAATGAAAATTTGTCATAATGAATCCACAGTAGACACTTGTTTTAAAATTGTTGAAGATTGTTTGTTGACCACTTGGTATCTTGGCTGGTTTTGTTGTGTTGTTGGATTGCTGTCTTGTTAACATATACAGAACATTTTATTCATCGTTATTCTGATATTATTAGCCTTTACCATGGTGTTGAAATCTGTTGCAAGTTTTATGATGAGCAGTGCTGCCTTATTCAAGAACCATGTTAATTATAGAATATTGAAAGATATACTGCAGAATTTACATTGGCTTTTTCCACATATGATAAAGATAAATAATATCAGCTATTTCTGACCAATTTTCCTAGCACTCAAGCAATAATCATCTGTTATAATGTACCAAACACTAGAGACCTGTTCATGCTATTGTTCTCATATTATCTCTGATTTTATCATCTATTGATTTATTGTAATCTTGTCTCTTCAATTCTAATGAGACAATTGTTGCTACTACATATAGGGTATACATAGAGGATTATATTCTATTGTTCACAATATTTACCACTATTTATAATGAGAATCCATTTTTTTACATGGAAAAAAAAAATGCTAACTTTGATGAATTTGAAAATGGGAAATGGATAATTAAAAGTCATGATTAAACCAGTCTGTACATAGAAATATGAAAATAAACTTTAATAACAATTCTTTTTGTGTTTCTCTAATAAATATGTCACATGATCCAAGCCAGGATATTACATTTTTTTTTAGATTATAAAGAAATTTAATAAAAATAATGTTACTGTGTCTTGACCTTTGAAATTATTGATTTTTACGAAAACATCAAATTGTTTATGTTGAAGGAACTCTTAAGTAAGGTGCATGATTTATATTCCATTTTAATTGATTCTTTAATAAGTCTCTGTGAATTAATTTTCCAGGAAATTCAATCGATGATATGAATTTGATTATTTTTGTATTAATTAACAGATAGTTGTAAGAAGTTATTAGACAGTACAACATGTAACGATCACAACGGTGAGATTTATTGTAAGGCCTGCTACGGTAAAAGTTTTGGACCTAAAGGTTACGGATTTGCAGGTGGAGCCTCTGGATTAAACATGGATACTGGTGTTAGAGGGGAGATTACTACAAGGTATGTTATTATTCAACTGAACTTTAGAACAGGTTCATGTAATTGCAATCTTTTTGCAAAATTGGTTTTTATTGGATGACATCAAAACTTGGAGAAAGTACTTAAAAGCAATCTAATGTCAGAACTTTTTTTCCTAACTGTAAACTGTTTCCTCTGGTTTAATGTCATTTTGGCAAACAAAAGCAGGAATCAGAATTACTGTCTTTTTGTTTAATTCTTACTGGCGATAATCTAAATTTTATAGTCATAAACATGTTTTATCTGCTCTGATAATATTGGGGAGGGGGGTCAGTAATATTGATTATTTTTTGACACACTAAATTATCAATGCATTATATGACAACAATTAAATTTCAATATATTACATTATTGAAATTATATTTGAATAATGGTAGAGAAAGTGTACAGTGAATTAAGTCATGACGAAAAAAAAAAACCTCTAGAGCATTTAACTAAACCAAAGAAAAGAAAGAGTGCTTCATCTTCTATAAAATCTGTAGAGGCACTTAACTAAACCAAAGTAATGAAAGAGTCCTTCATCTCCTATAAGATTTGTTATGTTTAACAATTCAGTTGAAACATGAATTGAAATTGTTGATAAGATATAGATACTACTGTATTTAGTAGCTCTTTTTAATTTTCATATGCTGCATATCATTCTGGTTGCCACTAAATTTAGGGTTTTAGAACCATACAAATGAACCACTGAAAACTATAACTCACAGCAAGATCATATTCTGGATTATACAGCATATTTATCAAGATACAATTGACATATATACAGTTACAAAAACTTTCAAAACTGCATTTGATGAAAAGTGATTTTTTTTTTACCCTGGTTACGTATCTTCTCTATAAATTATCTTTGTCTTTGATAACTTAATGCTGCCAAATATAGAAAGTTTTAAAGTACAGCTAAGTACCAAAAGGCTTTTTTTAACTAAAAGATATGCTATTCAGTATTCAAATTTACAATCGCTATCTTGTACCCTATGAATTATTAGATTTAGGACATATCTATTGATACCAGCATATTATATTGTGAATTTAGGAGAAAATTAAAAAGAATTAATGGAAATGTCAATTTGATTTTCAGGGATATATCTACTTATCAGAAGGCTCAGGCTGCACCTTTGATCAATGGTAATGAAAAGTTTGGAGGTGGAAACATGTGTCCTAAATGTGGGAAAACAGTTTACTTTGCTGAGGAAGTCAATGCCAAGGGCAGGAAATACCACAAGCTTTGCCTTAGATGTGGTAAGTAGTCAATGCTATTGACAGTAAATACCCTTAGCTTTGCCTTACATGTAGATGAGCTAAATAGTCAGTGTCGTATTCAGGAAATACCACAAGTTTGCCTTAGATGTGGCACGTAGTAAATTCTATGGGTGGAAAATACCACAAGCTTTGCCTTAGATGTTGTAAGTAGTCTATGTTAAGTACTGGAAATACCACAAGCTATGCCTTAGGTGTGTTTAGTAGTCAATGTCATTGGCAGGAAATACTAAATGCTTTACTTAAGATGTGTTTAGTAGTCAATGCTCTAGTTGGAAATACCACAAGCTATGCCTTAGATATGTTTAGTAGTCAATTCTATGTGAAATAAATACCACAAGCTATGCCTTAGATGTTGTAAGTAGTCAATGCTGCAAGCTATGCCTTAGATGTGGTAAGAAGTCAATGTCATTGGCAGGAAATAGCACAAGCTATGCTTTAGATGTGTTTAGTAATCATTGTCATTGGCAGGAAATACCACAAGCTATGCTTTAGATGTGTTTAGTAGTCCATGTCATTGGCAGGAAATACTACAAGCTATGCTTTAGATGTGTTTAGTAGTCAATGTCATTGGCAGGAAATACCACAAGCTTTGCCTCAGATGTTGTACATATTCAATGCTCTAGTTGGAAATACCTCAAGCTATGCCTTAGATGTTGTACGTATCCAGTGCTCTAGTTGGAAATACCACAAACTATGCTTTAGGTGTGTAAAGTAGTCAATTCTATGTGACCACAAGCTATGCCTTAGATGTTGTATGTATTCAGTGCTCTAGTTGGAAATACCACAAACTATGCTTTAGATGTGTATAGTAGTCAATTCATGTGACCACAAGCTATGCCTTAGATGTTGTAAGTAGTCAATGCGCTGGTAGGAAATACTGCAAGCTTTGCCTTAGATGTGGTAAGAAGTCAATGTCATTGGCAGATTTTGTGGAATGATTTTATCATGACATTATACTGAAATATGCAAACTACTGAACTTCTAAAGATATTAAATGGCAAAAGGAGCAAAATTTAAAAAAACAGTATTTTGTTGATTGAAAAAGCGTACATACTTGTGTCAAGCATAACAACTATTAAAATGAATAGAAATCAGAGAAAATGATAATTTATTTTTATACGCCCATTTACGGGACGTATTATGGTATACTGTTGTCCAACAGTCTGTCCGTCTGTCTGTCCGTCCGTCGTCAACTTGTCGGACAATAACTCAAATGCTTTATCCAATTTTCTTGAAACTTTGGTGAATTGTTTGTATCTATTGACATGAGCTCCCTTTCGATTTTTATAAATTTTAGATTTTACGTTTCCCAGTTATGGGGTTTTATTCATTAAAAAAGGGGGATTTTCCAGTTTTCGGACAATAACTCAAAAATGCTTTGAGCAGTTTTTGTGAAACTTTGGTGACTGTTTTATATCTATTGAAATAACCTCCCTTTACTTTTTTATAAATTTCTGATATGACTTTGAGGAGTTATGGAACTTTATTCTTTGAAAAAGCGACTGGTGTATCATGCGCTCATGGCGCAGCTCTTTATTTAGACTTTTCTTTATAAATCCCTAGATATGTCATGAAATAGAAGTTCCTTCCTAATATAACTTTCCAGTAGAAGAAATATTCTGTAATATTATTTCTTCTGGAACAAATATTACAGTATTTGTTCCTTACGGAATTAAGGTTATAGAATATTTGTTCCAACAGGAACAGATATTATGCCATTGTTTATAACAGAGTTTCCAGGGGAACTTCTGTTAGGTGGAACAAATATACATTGACAGATATACCAATAGGTTTTGAAATGTATGGTGTTATTTAATTGAATAAGCTTAACTCAGATCAATAAAAATTTTCCAGGTAACTGTAACAAGATGTTAGATAGTACTACCTGTACAGATCATGGCAATGATGTTTACTGTAAGAATTGTTATGGAAAGCTCTTTGGACCAAAAGGATATGGATTTGCAGGAGGAGCTTCTGGACTCTCCATGGACACAGGAAATCCTGATGAAGTAACTCGAGAGTAAGTCTGAAATTTCTGACTATTTCAGTATATGTGCTATTTACTCTATTGAACCTAAAAGACATGTCCTTTATTTAATTCACTAAAATGAAAATTACATAGTACAACTTATTGATTATTCATTGTTTACTATTATGTTAACCAATGAGAACTATTTTTATTAGGCCTTTTGAAGGTGAAAAAACAATGGTTTAGATTTAGGACTGAACCATTAATTAAGAAAGAGGCCTCATATTTAAGTTGAAATAGGGTATTAGTTAACATGGTTAATAGGTGTTATTAATTAACCTTTAAAAGTTAGACAGACAATGAGAACAAAAACTTATGAATATATGTAAAACATGTTTTTTATAATTAAAATTCTATAAAAAAAACTTTAAAATACATGTACTTTTTATATCTTCAGTGACTGTAAATATAAAAAATGCATGTATTTTAAAGTTTAAATTAATTTTGTTTAAAAAATTTTAATTATAAAAAATATGTTTTTACACATATTTATAAGTTTTTGTTTGAAAAGATGTACATTTAACTACAAACTCATTCTGTATAGAATACATGATTTTATGCAGAGACTTTTAATATTTATTACAGAAATGTATCAAGCTTATCTATTGCCCAGGCTGCACCACTACTTCCAGACACAAAACAAAATGCTGTAATAGGGGGTGGAGACATTTGTCCTAGGTGTGGTAAAGCTGTCTACTTTGCAGAGAAAGTATTTGGAGGAGGACAGGTATGCCTAAGATAATCAAAAGCTGGGTTTTCAAGCAACAGTAAATGGGAAAAGTTGGATCCATAGAAAAGGGGAGACAAATACAGAAATTTATAGGGAATTACAAATTTAAAATATATAAAATATAAAACGAGCCTATATAAGATTTGTACTTCGGTTAACTTTAAGATTTGTGGTTCACCACAAAAACTATGAATAATAATAATTCCACAGTATTTTTTATTGAAGGTTGGTAGACCCTTATTAGAATTGAAATTATTTCTATTCCTGTAAGGGATATGTGTATGTACAATATACATTGTATTTTAATGTACCAGTAACCAATATTGCATTGAAAATTACATCACGTTGCAAGGCGAAAGTCGAATCAATCTTATATGGTGCTCTTATAACTGCCCTATCAAAATACCTGGTGAAAACATTGCCATAGATGTTCTGTTGGATGCTCAATTAGGCAGTTTTAACTACCTCAAGTTCAATATCCAAATTCCTTTTAAGAGACAGTGGACGACCTTCAATCTCATTGCATGGTTCTGAGATGCATTTTAGGGAGTACATCATTATCCCAACAAAAGTTGGTTGTTATTTGCTTATTAAGATGTCAACATTTTTGCTCATCAAGTGACAGGCAATCAATTCACCCTAGTATAAGATTTATCTGAAATGATTTTACTCTGCAATTGAAAGGAATTATCTGTCTCACAAACTGTAAGGTGGACAATTTTCGTGAATAATTTAATTTTTTGCTAATTTTACGAATGAAATACAAATCTAAAAATATGCCCTCTTGTAAATTTGTTGTTTACAGACAAATATAATCATAGACATGAAAAACGTGAAATCAAAACCTTCTGGAACTGGATTTACATTAGAAATTGTCAAATTTAAACTCCATGAAAATTAATCATTTGACACTATTATGCTTCATTACAACATGTGTTTACCGGTAATATTATGTTAAAATTTAGGGCTTTAATTTTAAGTGTCTTTCAGTGATATCCTATGGTTGTACTGTATGAGATACACTTTGTAATTTTATGTTATCATATGTCGTGCTTCCTATATTATGATAATTTCTTTCTTTGCTAGGATGAAAATCCATCTGCAGATGATCAGGTCAATAAATAGAACATTTTGTAAGACTGTTGCAAACTATTGTTATCTCCTATGAGCTATTGTTGTAATCTAAAAACATAGATACAAAACTTACATTCTTTTTAGAATTGTATATGAATGTTGATTCTAGAAATACTCTGTTATAACAATTTTCTTCTAAATATGAGATCTGATTATTAGTTTCAGTTCTATTGTAATCTAGAAAATCTATCATTTCTATTTTAGCTTGAGAAAGATATGCATGTAGATTTCAATAACATTAAAGACTTCTGGTACAATTATTGTAATTGATAATTCATTGTTCTACAAATGAAATGTAGCCTGACATTTTGTCAATACCAAATAAAAAACATATTAAATTAATTTATTGTTCTTTTTTATAAAAATAGAGATAAACAAGCAATATTCAAATTTTCTTTTTCCTCTGAATTATCAAATAATGATGAACAGTCCGATTTAATTATGCAATGTAAGGAACATGTTTATCTTTACATTTTTAAAAAATTTGTTTATATAAATTTTTACCATCATGTTTTATAGTGAGACATTTTTATTTGGTCCATATTTAGTAAAACAGGAGTAAATTAAAGAAATAAAAGGGATGATAAATTGCACAAACAAACAAAATGTTAATCAATAAAATTTGTTAGCACAATAATGAAAGTCCAAATAACAGTATACTGAATTAATATGACCTGTTATAAATGATATATAAGGGACAGAACGATTTTGTCAGAAATAATTCAAAATTAAGATGTTCAAATGAATCAGTCTCAAAGCTATCTGAGACTGAAATAATTCATTTAATTTCTTAGGATATCTTTTGTGTATTTTATCCTTCATTTTCTTTGCTATCGTGTTTCGTTTCACTGAATGATTATTTCATGAGAACATAATCTCTTTAATGTTGTCTCATTCTTAGCCATTGTTCTAATGTATAAAATAAAATAGTAAATTTGAAATCATTTCAAAATGAAATTATCATATGAATAAACAATTGTATCATATATTTCATTTTTCTCATTTATAGCATAATGATAATCTTTTTTGTTTATACCGGTATATAAGGCATGCAGAGATTTAATTTTTCTTTTTTAATGATTTTATTGAAGGTTGTTATCATCATTTGTTGAGATTACCTACATGTATAATCATTAAGATAACTTGAAAATGAATTAAGATATGAAATGAAAGGAAATATGTCAATGAGACAGTTACCCAATTACACAAATAACCAGTAGACAACTTGAGGGCAGCACCTGCAGTATTTAACAATAGACAGGTTTCTTAACAATCTGTCAAGCTCTAAATCGTAATAAGTTGTGATAAGATGTCAATATTGAGTCTTTATGTCTTGTTATTTTTTTTTTTACAGACATATCACAAGAGTTGTTTTAAATGTACTGCCTGTGGGAAAGGACTTGACTCTACTACACTTACACATAAAGAGGATGAAGTCTTCTGTAGATGTAAGTTACATATGATGGTAGTTAATTCTTTAACAAAATATAATAAATATATAGGAACAAATCGTACACAAATATATGAACATGACGTCAATGCATCCAGTTGAATACAAAAGTTCTTAATCCAAGGTAGTTAAATATCGATGACCATTTCTTATCTTAAAAACAAATACCTAACTACAAAAGTTAATGGAACAACAGCCTATCATAACAAGTTTGTCATAAGTGGACATATACAAGTTGCACTACAACCTTTATCATTTCCATCTTTCTCTTACCTTTTTGTTGCTGCATACATAATCTCAATCTCATACTGGCCACAATATGCATTATGTCTCTGAATGAAAGGGGAAAATTCACATGAATATCTAAATAGCATTATTTAAACTTACATGAGGTTTTTGTATTTTTTCCAGCATGTTATGCAAAATATTTTGGACCAAAAGGATTTGGTTTTGGACAAACCCTGCAGCATACAGGATAAAATGAAACAAGTGGATTATAAAAGATGAAAGTATCTACTCAAGAAAATCAAACCTGGCATTATCACAGATTTCTTTGTTTTTGACAAACTTATGCATAAACATTTTTTTTGTTAGGTTCTAAAACATGAAGATATTAATGTATAAGTTTAAATTGATGTTGATTGAACAGATGTTTTTATGCATATGGTAATGCCAAATGTGTTTTAATGAAATTTCTTTTCTTTGATTTTACTATACTTTTAAGTCATGCATGTGTTAGTTGTCTACATTTTACAGATCATATGCACATAATTTTTTTTTTTTTTTTTAAGAATCTCAGATAGAATATATTTTTTTTTCTTTTTTAATGGTAATACAAATAATGATTATTTGGTTTCAATTATATACCTTTTTTGGCAAAAGCCGAACAACACACTGTAGATATGACTTCCATTAGTCATTAACCGCATTTAAGTCTGTTTATAAATATATATGATGTGAAATTGATCTGAAATATGCCCTGTCATAATAATAAATTTACATTTGTTTTTTATGAAAATTTTATGAAAAATTGTATCACATAGCCCTAAATTGGTGTATTTGTATTCTGAATTTTATTCTTTTTTTGTACTCTAGCTATATTTTATTTGTTAAACTAAATCAAACCAATTCAGTTTATTCATAATTAATAAGTAATTTTTCTTTTGTAACAATTTATAATATTTTAATAAAAAATCATGCTTTCTTTCTATATATTCAAAATTTACATAGATAATATCATACTTTTTACATATCAAGAAACATGAAGTAATTTTATGCTTGCCAGACAAAAAGGTTGTGTGCATTCCATGTTTAAAGATAACATTTTTATGTTGAATTTTGATATTATAATCATGAAGTTAGTAAGTGATACATTCATACAACTTCAGTTTTCAGTCTTTTAATTCACTGATTTACTCAATGAATGTTCTGATCAATGGTGATGTTTTATTTACCATTAAAAGAAAGTTCATTTTAGTGGAATAAGTTCAGAATCATTGCATTTTACATTACCAGTATGACACAGGATTATTCAAGTTTGTTGTACACAGTAAGAAGTTTTGTACAGAGTTGTGTAAAATATTAGGTTTCATATGAAAATCCTGATATAAATATATGTTGTATTGTATATTAAGGTTGTATTCATTACTTGTGTAAGTTATTTTTAGAATCTTTACATGTTTTAATGTAGATACTTTTAAGCACTTCTAGATTCAGGCAATATCTTAAAAACCCTACCAAACTACTTTTGCTTTGCCTTTTAAATTAGACTTGCTTCATATCTTTTATGATATTTCTAGATTTCATTGCAGTTCATAAGTGATTAACTTCCCTTGCTAATATTCATTATAAATAATTTTGGACGTTTTTAGAATATGTAAAATCAGTAACAAAATGTACAATTTTGGGGTAAGATGGCTTGACAATTCTCCTTTACAACTGGCTCTTTCATCCTCATACCAATGTTCTTTCTGTGATAAGTCAAAGGTCACAAATAAGGTAGATAACCAGTGCTGATGAATGTCACGGCAGAGAGGAGCTAATAAAACATTATGTAAGGTAATCACTACATTGTCAAGTGAATTAATTAGTATACTCTGATGAAGAAATTGATATAAACCAAGAAACAGTGCCATCTTCCAAATGAACACTCTTAATTCTTTTTTTTTTTTTTTCAAAGTTTGTTGAACAATATAAATTTACTTTGGGATATTGCCTGAGTATTATTACTGAAGATATGTGTTTTATAACACTTATTTGTTATATTTGTTCATTTTAGTATACTAGTTCTATATTCTTTTTAGTATTACAGACTTATATACTCTTATTTTACCGGTAGCTTATGTTAGAATTTTAGGCTTTTTTTTAATAAGAATGCACTTGATTTTTTTGTCGAGCCTGCGACTTTTGTCGCAGAAAGCTCGACATAGGGATAGTGATCCTACGGCGGCTGCGGCGTTAGCTAACTTCTTAAAAGCTTTATATTTTAGAGGGTGGAAGGTCTGGATGCTTCATACTTTGTATATGGATGCCTCATGTTACGAAGTTTCCGTCAGTCACATGTCCAATGTCCTTGACCTCATTTTCATGGTTCAGTGACTACTTGAAAAAAAAGTTCAGATTTTTTGTAATGTTAATTTCTCTCTTATTATGAATAATAGGATAACTATATTTAATATGTGCGTACCTTGCAAGGTCCTCATGCCCGTCAGACAGTTTTCACCTGACCTCGACCTCATTTCATGGATCAGTGAACAAGGTTAAGTTTTCGTGGTCAAGTCCATATATCAGATACTATAAGCAATAGGTCTTCTATATTTGGTGTATGGAAGGACTGTAAGGTGTACATGTCCAACTGGTAGGTGTCATCTGACCTTGACCTCATTTTCATGGTTCAGTGGTTATAGTTAAGTTTTTGTGTTTTGGTCTGTTTTTCTTATACTGTAGGCAATAGGTCTACTATATTTGGTGTATGGAAGGACTGTAAGGTGTACATGTCTAGCTGGCAGGTGTCATCTGACCTTGACCTCATTTTCATGGTTCAGTGGTTATAGTTAAGTTTTTGTGTTTCGGTCTGTTTTTCTTATACTGTATGCAATAGGTCTACTATATTTGGTGTATGGAAGGACTGTAAGGTGTACATGTCTAGCTGGCAGGTGTCATCTGACCTTGACCTCATTTTCATGGTTCAGGTGTTATAGTTAAGTTTTTGTGTTTTGGTCTGTTTTTCTTATTCTGTATGCAATAGTTCAACTATATTTGGTGTATGGAATGATTGTAAGGTGTACATGTCTAGCTGGCAGGTGTCATCTGACCTTGACCTCATTTTCATGGTTCAGTGGTCAAAGTTAAGTTTTTGAGTTTTGGTCTTTTTTTCTAATACTATATGCAATAGTTCAACTATATTTGGTGTATGGAAATATTTTATGATCTATTTGTCAGTCACGCAGGTTTTTTTTACCTTGACCTCATTTTCAAGGTTCATTGCTCAGTGTTAAGTTTTTGTGTTTTGGCCTGTTTTTCATACTATAAGAATAGGTCAACTATATTTCTTGTATGGAAGAATTGTTAGCTGTACATGCCTGCCTAGCATGGTTCATCTGACCTTGACCTCATTTTCATGGTTCATTGGTCAATGTTTAGTTTACTTAGTTAATGTTAAGTTTATGTGACAGTTGTAATAAAGCTTTATATTTAGGACTATCAACATAATATCAATGATTAGTAAAGAAGGCGAGACATTTCAGCGTGTCCACTCTTGTTTTAACTGTTATGCAAATGGATGTATAAAAGACCTAAGTGACTTTCATTTACTCAAACAAATCAGTTATATCATAGATATCAATCATGATCCCAAAGGCTTTATCAATACCCTATTCTGTATTATGTCACGTCACGTGAAAACATCTACTTGAGGTATATAATAAAGTGTATATGATATGGCTTTTTCAATATCACACACCATATCAACCCTCAACCAATATAATCCCACTAGCAGAGCTCTTGTGATTATGTTGTTGTCTCATGTTGATATGGGTGCGATAATTGAATAATACCGGTAAATCATGTTTAGAATTTCATCCTTCAAAATTGTTTAAAAATGTTAGTCTTTAAAAAAAAAGGCAAATTAGTGCAATTTGCAATGTATCCTTGTGAGTGGGATATGTTTATTGTATGAATCAGAACTTTCAATGAATATATTTTCATGTCTTGGGTAGAATATCAAATTTTAGTTAGGGGCAAGTTTTATTTCCCTTTATTGGTTAGGTATGTATTGTCGTATTATGTGTTTAGTTGTATACTGATAATTTATTATTAAAGGGACCATAAAACTGTCATTTATAAGGCATAATGAAAGCCTTTAAATGGCATTTTAACATCTTGAAATTATATTGGAATCTTTTGACCTTTACTTACTTACTTCAAATAACTCAAGTCCTTTGCGCATTTTGTTATCAAAGTCATAGATCATATGATTTGTGTACCCATTTGTTAAGCTTTGCACGTTTTAAGAGTCAGTGTGTAATTTATGTGCATACAAGATGTTATGTTTTTGTATTTATATTTTTGTTGTATCATGTGATATGTAAAGATCAAAATTCTGCTTTTAGTTTTACTCACGTTTACAAAATACTTAAAGTCACAATAATGCAAATGGTATCCATGTTACTACCAAATTTGAATTTGTGTTGACCTAGGTTTCTAGCATCTGATCAAAACTGTTTTAAATCTTCCAAGGGCTGTTAAGAAAATATCAGGTTTACATATCAAATCTACTGTCAAATACAACTTGGGTAAATTGCCTGAAGCAAGCTGTTTCTTATGTGTTTATATATGGAATTCAGTACCTAACAATTATTTAAAAACTCTAAATAGGATTAAATTTGAAATGATTGGTTGCTAAAAAATTAGTTGAATGATTTTTGATGTAAGGGTGTATGGTGAAGATCTACATTTAATTAATGAAGTTAAAATTTCAAAGGATAATATTAAAATCATATCAAAACTAAATTAATGAAAATTTTAAAGAACAGCAACAAAAAACTATTGTTGAACAGAACTTATAAAGACCTAAACAGTTTGCTTTTATATGCCATTTAATGGTCTAATATGTCAAATTTTCATTATAACACAGAGAAAAGAAATAATCAAAGAACATTGTATTCAGAGTACTATGTAAACAAGAATCAGAATTATGATATTTTAAAGTTTTATCAAAAGTTGCCATGGAAAGTTCTTACATTCTGATTTGATGTCATTACATGAAATAACAAAATGGCTGCTGTGATCACATGGTCGACCAATTGACATGAAACGTTCTATGGAGCATATTTGCAAGATTTTTCTGCTGTGAAATATGTAAAAGTTTAATACTTAAATGCATGGACAGATATATCACTTTCAATATTTCAGCTGCATCAAAAATTTTACTTATTTAGAACTTCTTGGAATGAACCAAGTCTTTTTTTTTCTTTTGTTTGTTTATGACTGCAGATCAAATAAATAGAAATTTGGATCCACTTACTGTAAATTCAGAAATTATTGTTTTCATTTATTATTGAGATTTTTCAAAAATGGGCAAGAATATGAGTTTAATTATTGCGATTTCAGAAAAATCTACATACAGATTTAACTTTTAGTTATCAAAATGAGAATTATTATACACCTTATCGCTATTTGTCCGCCATTCATGGACATCACAAAGGTTCCCATAAAATTTTGACGTCACAATACAAAATATCTGACACCACAATGGAAAAGTGATTGTTGTATGACGTCAATAGTTCAAGCGGGACAGATTCTCGGGTCAACCGGGACAGATTTCCAAATAGCGATAAGGTGTATTGCAATGCTTACCTTTTCGCATTATTTACATTAATAAAAACCACTCAATAATTTCTGAATTTGAAGTATTTAACAAATTTACATTTACCTCTTAAAGAATGAACATAGAGGAAGAATTTGGAAATTATTTTTAATTTAATAGACATTTTGAAGGTTTATATAAGAAAATTCAGTTGTTGTATGTTAACACATTGTGTTGGTGAAATATTTGACCTCGACATAATTTCCAGCACATTTTATTGGAAACTAAAAGTAATAAAGGGTATTTTAAAGGTGTTCACTCATATGTAAACTCAGCCTTTCACTCATAGACTCAACATAAAGTCCTTCTGACTTCCGATTATTAGCCAGTTGGCAGAGTTTACATACCGATAATCTCCTTAGAAATACTCTTTATGACTTATTGTAGTAAGGATGTGATCAGTTTCCATGGCTTGAAACATATATACCAGTTATTGTTGTCATATTGTAGGTGCCATTATTGTTAATGTTAACAGACTGACCAGTTGTTTTGTTAATTA